TGAAACACACTGTCAAAGGCGTAATCAATATAAAAATAAGAAGATTCACCGGGTTTAATTCAACACAACTCCTGATAGACTCAGAAAAAAGGGTTTTAAGAATAAAACATCATGATGTTTCAGAGAACAGTGCAAGAGTTTCAGCCTGAAATTAGAAAGGCAAGGATGGCTCCAGTAAAGACACAGAGAGGGAACGACACACGTAGGTAACTTTGAACCCCGGTGTGCGGGTTCAACCCTCACCTGACGCCGCTCGTCCGCACCAGGTGACTATTGCGGCTCACGGGGGATCGCCCTCCCCACAGCCACCACCTGCGTGCGGGCTGCCAGCGCGGCAGCACATCCCAGTGCGCCCAAAAACAAACACCTTCCCTTCGCAGGCTGCCCGGGGAGCTCAGCGAGTCTCCCTCTGCGGACACATTCAAAGCCCACCTGGACGCGCCCCTGTGTCACCTGCTCCCGGTGGCCCTGCCTGGGGGGGTTGAAGGGAAGCCGGGGGGGGGCACTGGTTGATCTCCAGAGCTCCCTCCCAACCCTCACAATCCTGTGACCCCTCAGGGCCCCATCCCCGCATCCCCCCGCTGAGGGAGCGCTGCCCGAGGCGCGGCCGCGGGGTCCCCCCCACGGGCGGCTGCGGGGCTGAGGGGCCGGCACTCACCAGAGCAGGGCGCAGAGCAGGAGGCAGGAGCCCAGGGCCAGGGGCCGGCGGGGCGGCTCCTTCATGGTGTGGCGGGTCTCCCGGTGCGGGCCGTGCAGCGGCTCATCCTCCCTCAGCGCCGGCGGTTCCCGCTCCCTCAGCCCCGGCGGTTCCCGCTCCCTCAGCGCCGGCGGTTCCCGCTCCCTCAGCCCCGGCGGTTCCCGCTCCCTCAGCCCCGGCGGTTCCCGCTCCCTCAGCCCCGGCGGTTCCCGCTCCCTCAGCCCCGGCCCGGCGGCTCCCTGAGGGCGGCGCGCGGCCCCTCCCGAGCGCGGCGCGAGCGGCGGCACGCGCTGCCTGCGGGGCAACGGCGGCGCCTGCGCATGAGCCCCCCCGCGCGCGCGCGGGCCCGGCCGTTACTGCCCCCCCCGCTCCAGGCCCCGCCCCTTCCCCCCCGAGCGCTGAGCTGGAAGGACGCGCGTCACCTCCCGCCAGCCAATGGCCGGAGCGCCCCGAGCCATGGCCCCGCCTCCCGGCCCCGCCGATTGGACCGTGCCCGTGCCCGTCCAAGGGCCCCCTCCGTGAGGTGTCCGCGTCAGGAGGGCCGTTAAAGGGAAATCGCTGGCGGCTGGCGGCCAAACCAGAGGCCGCGGAGCTCGCTAAAACCGCCACTGCCTCCGTTCCGAAGGACATTTTAAGCAACGGCGCTCCGACACGACAGCTTAAAATTGTTTGTGTTTTTTTTTTTGAATTTTGATCAGGCTTCTCTGCAGGCTGCCGATCCAGAGGCCCCCGAGGGGAAGGCGCGCGGGGGCTGCCGGGAGTTGTAGTTCCGTGCGGGAGGGCGGTGCGGCACCGGCCGCCATTTTGCGGGCTCCTGAGGGGCCCGTGAGGGGCAGGGGGGTCGGGCCCCACCTGTGTGTGTGAGGGGCCATCGGGATGGTTCGGTGCGTGTTTGTGTCCACTGCGATCGGGAGCCGAGCACAGCCCGGGGCCAGCTGGGGAGCGCTGCTGGGGGATGCTCAGGGAACACAGGGCAGTCTGAGGGTGATGTGCCACAGAAGGGGGGAGCCTTCCCAGGCACTGGCACGTTTGTCTGATCTGGTAGAAAAACACAACAGTTATTATCAAAAACAACAGGCATTTTGTGGGTAACCAAGCCTAATTCTGCCCATCTGCAGCGTGGCTTTACACGGAGCCAGGATCGCCGTCCTCGCGGCTCACACACAGCTCGGGATGGGGTTCCCAAGGCGGGCGGCGCGGCGGGAGCAGCGGGGCAGGACAGGGCGCGGAGCTCTGCCCGGCCAGGCACGGGGGAGCAGTCACGGGGCTGCCACGCTGGAAACGGGCACACGCCGGGACTCTGGACGAGGAAGGACAGCTCTGCCTGCGGGGCGGGGGTGACTCACGGCAGGATCAGCGCCCTCCCAGCTCACAGCTGCTGCTTTCCCCGGAGCAGCCGCAGCCCCATCACCCAGCCCTTGGAGCCTTCCCGGGTGCCTGCAGGGCTGTGTGGGGCTGCGGGAGCGCTGGAAACCTCTGGAGAGTCTTTATGTCTGTGCCTTTCCTGATTTTTCACCCTGTAACTCTGTGCTTTTGTTAACACCTGGCATCCCTTGCCCTTCCAAGAGCTCCACGTGCCACAGACAGGCCTGCATTGCAACCCAGGGAGGAGAAGGGATGAGGGAGAAGCTCCAGCTTTGTGTCCCACCTCTACACAGCTGGGGTTTAAATCCCCCTCCCAGCGAACCACAGACCATCCTGTGACAGACACAGCCTGCCCTGCAGTGCCTGAGGAGGGGGCTGTCGCAGGAGCATCCTCGGTGCACCCCGATATGTCTCTTTGGAAAATGGGGGATAGCAGCACAGCTGAGAGCCAAAGTGCAAAGCAGTGCCCTCTGCCCCACACCTTGCAGCTTAGCCAGAACCACAGGATCACTGGGGTTGGAAAATAGCTCTGGAGATCATCCAATCCAACCCTCCTTCCAAGACAGGGTCAGCTGGAGCAGGTGACACAGGGACATGTCCAGGTGGGTTTGGAATGTCTCCAGAGAGGGAGACTCCACAACCTCCCTGGGCAGCCAGTTCCAGTGCTCTGCCAGCCTCAATGTAAAGGAGTTCTTCCTCATGTTGAGGTGGAACTTCTTGTGTTTTAGTTAATGGACGTTGCTCCTTGTACTGTCACTGGACACTACTGAAAAGTCCAGCACCAACCTCTTGACACCCACCTTGGAGATATTTCCATGCATTAACCAGAAACCTGGCCCCGAGCTGCTGGAGAGGCTGGGACTCCACAGGGAATTCCTGTGCGAGTCACGGGTAAGTTTCAAAGAAACCCATGGGATTTAAGGAGCCTCTCACAGAGGAAAACAGGCTCACTGAGCCACAGTAGGGGTGATACCAAGATGAAGGTGGCCGGGAGGGCGGCTCTGGCAGTGCCTGCTCCGTGTCCCCAGAGCGAGCGCCTGCTGGCAGCTCTCCAGTGGGTCAGTGGGGAGCCCGGCTGTCCCAGCACTGCTCCCTCCACTACCTGGCCGGGTCCTGTTGCCCCAGGAGTGGGCCCAGACAGTTACGGGAGTGACACGATTCTTGAAAAATGCTGAGAAGCCACTTCATGGCACCAGCGAGGCATGAGACAGCACCTTTGCCGTGAGGGTTTCTCCAGCCTTCTGTGGTGCCAGAGCCAAGACACGGCGCAGTGTGGATCTGAGGCTGTGGGGAGGGGGGGAGTCTCAGTGGGAGGGTTATGAGCAGAGTTACACTGGGGAAGGCCCAGCTGTTCCCCCAGGAACCAGAGCAGGGCCATGAAAAGCCTCTGTGCCCAGGGACACGCCTCCATGCCGGCCACAGGGAGCTGCCTCAGCGGTGGGAAATTCCCCGAGCTGTGGGAGCAGCAGTGCACGTTCCACCTGCAGCTGTTGTAACCACACCAGGGAGTGCCACAGCTCTCCCTGCGGGGCTGGAGGGGGCAAGGAGACGTGAGCTCTGGCTGCAGGTGTCTCCCTGTGCCTCCTGCCTGGACATGACCCCCAGGGAGGTGTGTAGGACTTGTCTCAGTTGTGGATGCTGCCAGAGTTTCACCCATGGACACCTCACCCAGCAGGCACAGAGCATTCCCCCATCCCACAAACTCTGCGTGTTGGGGATTGCCAGGACCAGAGCAGTGGAGAAATCTGTCCATGAAGCACTGGAAATTCAAACAACTGCTCAGCTGTCTACTGGGAGAGATGGTAAACATTTATTAATCCGTTGCCAAGTGCTTCCATACAAAGCACTTCCCTCAGCACTGCCATGACGTGTGGCTGGGGCCGTCTCCATTGTGAGCCTCTGCTGTGATCCTGGGACTGTAATTCCTCCAGCCTCATCTCCAGGAGCCTTTCTCCAGCAGCAGGGGAGAAGGCTGTGAAGCCACTCTGGCTCAGCCCGTGTGGATGCTCCCTCCTGGCACAGCTCCCGCACCCTACGATCCCGTTGCCAGTGGGATTGATCACCACAGCTCAGAGCAAACACAGCTGAAGAGCTGTCACAGAGCACACATCGTTTCAGGGGAACTGGGGCAGTGACTGGTCAGGATCCTGGAGGAAAAGCCCCCTCAAGTCCCCACCAGACAGGAGCCAAAAGAGCCTGGTCAGCCAGGAGGGGTTTCAGTGCCTCACCTCTGACACACCCACATTGCAGTGCTTGCTGAGCTTGTTTCTCAGCTGCTGATAAGATGAGCAGTATAATGGTAAAAACAATCGCAGACCACCCAATCTCTCTGCTAGAGCCCGTAATTAACTCAAAACCCAATGGACTTGGGGTTACCAGGGAGCAAGTATTTGCACGGGATTCTCAAAGTTGCTGCACGTTGCAGCAATGTTTTTTGGCTTGCTCTGTGCCAAAATCGTCATGGAAAACCCTGGGGTTGAATTTGAGCCACCACTCACCCCACATCCACTGGGTGGGGAACACCCCTCTGCTGACTGGGAATAAAAGCCGGGTTGTGGTGCTTGGTACCCCGGGTAGGGAGAGCTGGAGGTGGCCACCCAAGGGGCACCTGAGCAGGAGGAGAGAGAAGGTGCTGCTGTGTCACCTGCACGGTGATGGGGCAGTGCTTGCCCACTGCACTCAAAGAGGCCCTGCGTGTCCTACTGGCTGTGGAGTATCTCCTGGAGATTTGGGAACAGAGGCCATGGAGCAGTGTTTGACTTCTGGAGGGACACCTGATCCTGGGGTACACACTGGGCCTTCTCCTTTCAGCACTTTCCAGCACTTGTTTGCTGCAGTGGCTAAGACTTCCCTCCCATTCACCCCTATCTGCTCTTTACAAAGGCTTCTTGTTTTACCAAGTGTTGGGTTTTTGTTTGGGTTTTTTGTTGGTTTTTTTTTTTTTTTTCCACGAGTGATTTAATTCACACAAACTCCTTCCTATTCTGACTATTGATCTTGGCTCCTTACTGGTTAAAATAAGGTAAATCTTTTGTAAGCAGGTTCTGACAACGCAACTTTTGTCCCTTCCAGACACAATTTCCTGTTTAATTTCCTGACTGTTTCTTACCTGGTAAAGGAAAAGTTGTAAATTGCAAGATTGCTTCAGAGACCTTTCTCTGACTTTAGATGAACTGTTAACCACTTGCAGGAGACAATCCAGCAAACCAGCATAAAACTTTAAAAAAATTCTCCATTTCTTTTATTTCTTCTGCAGTTCTCACTTAAAGGAAACAAGCTGGGAGTGGGGGGGGAAAGGGGTTGGAATAGTTCTCCTTGGAAAATCAAACAGGAGCAACTCTGCCTCCAGCTGAGTTGATAATTGCTCTTTCATCACTCAGCAAACTGTCTCTGATGCGTGGGCTGAGGCTCTGCGGTCCCCGATGTGGGTCCCGGACATGCCCCTGCATTCCCGCTCCCACATTCCTCTGAATCCCGAGGGCGCCGTGCCGGGCTGTGACCGCGGTCGCAGTGACCAGCTGCTCCAGCTGCAGATTCCCGGATCACCGAAGCGCTGGCCGTGCACGGAGCCTCGTTAGGGTTAATTAACGTGGGCCGGCGCCGAGGAGCGTCTGGGCAGCTCTTGGCAGGGAGGGACGGCGGGACACGGTGACATCCAGCAGGGGCCGTGTGACCCGGTGCGGGAGAGACCGCTCAGATCTCCTGCCAGCCCAAATCCCGCCTGGAAGAGCCTTGAAATCTGGCACAGGTGGCACAGCGCCACAGCTCCCAAAAGCTTGGATGGAGTCACAGCCAGGACCAGCTGGGACAGCCCCTTGCGTGGCTCGTGGGGGGCACAGCCAGGCCCAGGTCTCCTCCACCTGGCTCTGAGCCCCCTCTTCAGCGGCTCAAACGCTCAAAGTCCAAACCTTAAGTAAGATGAAGAAAATTAATCGAGATGGAAATGCCACTTTTGAAAACATTTGTATTTGATTTGCTCATTTCATGTGGCTTCATTTAAACTATAACTTTGCCTTATAGTTCATAATATTATCACTTGCCATCACCAAGTGATGGCTCCAGCGGGGATGCCCAGGCAGGGTACAGCAGGAAGGCTCAGCATCTCCCGGCCCTGTTTCAGAACCACAAAGCCTCTGCATGACAGAAAACACCATTTCCTACAGCCAGTGCTTGGGAGCAGATGGAAAATGGCTTCAAGAAGGGACCCACCTTCTCCTAGCCCGGCTGGCAGCTGTCCTGGTACAACCTTCAGCAGCATCTCAGCTCAGTGCTGTGACACCAGGCCTGGTGTCTCTGCCTGCTGGAGAAGACAAACGTGGTCGGCAGCTGAGGAGCTTCTCTTGCCATCTGACAGGGCTGGTGGAACAGGGAAAGTCCAAACGCTCCTGGCTGCTGAGACACAGACAAGCAAAGTTAACTCTTGGTCACAGGATGGAAATGTGGTGTGGGACCAGGGGCTGGCAGTGGGGTGAGCAAAGGTGGTGGGTGCCTTGGTCCTCCTGGGTTCTTCCCGACAGCTGCCGTGTGAGCCCCCTGGGGAAAAGAAAAAGCAAATTTCACTGCAGAAACTGAGAAAGGGCAAAACTTCGTGGTGGAGGTGTAAAGCTTTTTTTGGCCCTCATTTCTGGGAGGACAGCGTGGGCTGAAGCTTCCCCTGCCCTCTTCACCCTCTCACCCGAGGGCTGGGAAAGCACCCGGTGCAATCCAGTGCTGGGTTCCCTCCATGGCCACGTTCAAACCAAAGCCAAAGCAGGTGATCCCACAGGTCAGCAGTGCCAGGAATGTGCCGGGAGGGCGGCACAGCCTGTGCAGGAGCAGCAGCACCTCCACCAGACCCAAGTGGTGGGGATGAGAGATGAGAAGACCAGCCAGGCACACATAGAATGCCACGGGCTCAGCTGTTTCCCTTCCCCTTTCTCCCAGATACTAAAAGAAACTAAATTCCCATCTGGCTCCATCCCCTCCCTGGCAGATATTTAAAAACAGGGAGATGAGTGCAAAGGTGGCTGGTAGCAGGAATGTTGCTCCTGAGGGACCCACATGTTCCCAAGGGAACATGCACGTCTCGCAGGGCTGGGCCCCGGGACTCTCCTTCCCTGTGTTCCAGAGTAGGACAAGCTCATGTTGCAGGCAGAAGTGCTCAGCCCTGACATCACACTGCTCTTCCCAACCACATGGGCTCCTGCTTGGAGGCTCACGGGAAGAGGGCAGGAAGGGCTCCTGGGTGAATCTCTCCTGTGAAATCACTGTGTTTCCAGGCTGAGGGTTAGGGTTTGAACAAAGGCTTCTTTACCAGGCAAATGGGAAGGTGAGCACAGAGAGGAGGATCCTCTCACAGTGCACCAGGCTGAAGCTACGACCTCTTTTTGACCTGTGCACACTAAATTTTGCCCCAGCCACACTTCCTGTAAAAGTGTTTCATCCCCCATTGCCCTCCTCATTTACAGAACAAAAATATTCCCTGGGCAGACAGTAAAACCCCATTAAGAAACTCCAGGTCCCTTCACATCTCTTGCTGTGTGTCCCAGAGCTGCAAGGGGAAGGAAGTGGCTGCCATATGAGGTTCAGGGTGATGGAGAGACAGGGGAGCTGGTGTGTAGCTCCAGCCACAACCACCCTGGTCACCAGCTCTCCCCAGTGCTACGTTGCTTTTGCAAGACCCTCCTCACTCCTGAATCTTGGAATTTTTCACCTTTCAGCTTCCATGCCAACCCATGCTCGGGTCCCACAGGCAATGGTTTGGTTTGGTTTTCTCCCAGTGTCTTTGCCTTAGGGATGTGCCACCTACAGCTGAGGGCTGAGCTGAGCTTACCTGGGCAGATGAAGGTTGGACTTGGCCCACCTTGGAGCACCCTGCAGCTGGCAGAGCACACTGCTGATGTCCAGTTTCCTAGGGCTGGGAAACTTTTTTAAAGCAGATTAGAAAACAAAAGCATCTTTTCTGGGTGATACCTTGGCCTTCATGGAGTTCCCCTACAGAACAGGCCCCTGCTCTGGAGCTGGGCAGGGCCCTGGCTGGGCTGGCTTGTGCCTCTCCCCAGAGCCCAGAGTGGGCAGTGGGGAGGGTGTTTTGCCATGGGGCTTCTCTGATCCATGCTGACTGTTGGGAAATGCCAGGACTGAGGGAGTTCAGTTTCACAGCTGCCCCACATGCTGTGACTTCCAGAGGTCACGCCCCTGCAAGCGTGTGCCTCCCACCCCAGGTCCTCAAACAAGTTCTGCAGCAGTCTTCACATCCTTCTCCCTCTGCTCAGTGAATCCTAAACCTTGCCCTGGCAGATTCCAGTCCAGCCTGGGCTCCTCAGACCCGATCCCAATTTCCTGGACTGCTCTGCCCAGCCCTGAGCAGCATCACTGGGTTTCTCCAGCAGCCTTTGCACTTCCTCATCTCAGCTTGTTGTCTGGGAGGGTACAAGTTCCCCTTCTCTGGCTGCTCCTTCCCATTGTCCTTGTTCTCCCTTGTGAGCTCCCAAGCCTTGCTCACCTCGTCCCTTGTCCCTCAGATGCTGCCACAAGGGAAAATGGCAACTCACCAGCATTTAGGTCCTCTCTGTCCTGAGCAGGGGCCGTCCACCCAGGGATGCATCTATGGGGTCTGCAGCAAATTTCCAGCTTGCACCCTGGGGCAGGATCCTCTCCATGGGACAGGGAGCTTGGACAGTGATACCAGTGACATCCCCACCAGGAGCTTCTGGTGTTCCCATTCTGTCCAGCCTTGGGATAGGAGACCTGTGTGGATCATGGCCCACTCCCTGCTCTGGCTGCACCACCAGCCCTGCAGCACAGGGACAGGCAGTGGGGCCTCTGCTGAGCCTGTAGGGGACTCACCTGAGCTTGCAGGAAGGTTTCCTGGGGGTGGCAGATGCTGTGGAGGACAGGAGGGCTCAGGGGTCAGGGCAGTGAGGCCTGAGCAGGAGCTGTGCCGGAGGGCTCTGGGAGCATCCCTCGGTGTCTCGGGCTGCCCACAGCAAGGACATCGCTGCACAGGGCATGCACCTCCTGGCTCACACACTCCTGGGAGGTTTCCCTGGGACTGGAACACAGACCTGGGCCCAGGGAATCTGGCCTGCACACAAGGAAAGAGGAGGCTTGGGAGAGCTGGAGCAGCACTGCACTGCTCGTGTCCAGGCACGCTCCTGCAGGGTACCCCAGGGCAACCAGCCCTGTCTGCTCCAGTATCCCACCATAGAGCTCAGATCATCTGCAAGGCACTGGGCTAGGATTGTCCCACTCTGTGCTGGGGACTAAATCCAAAAAATCCTTAAATAGGTGATTGCAGGAGAGCAGACACAGCCTGTATCGTGGGGCCATTTAAGGCAGGAGACGATCTCTGGACATGGAAAAACTCAGCAGCTGGAATTGCGCCAACCTCTCCCCCTGAACAGCATTCCTGGGGAGGGAGGGTTCAGCTCCAGGGTCAGAGGGGGAGGCTGGGGGATCTCCTGGCAGAGAACCAAAGCCGGAGGGCCCATAACTGTGCTGTGTCACCCTGTGGAGCGACATGAGAGGGATGCAGGGGAAGAGCCCTGCCCGAGGGACAGGGTGAGGTGCAGAATCCATGTGCAGCCTCACAGTCCCAGGCAGGCTCAAACCCGTAGCAGACTGTGCTGTTTAGTTATCTTGAAGCCTATTTCTGTGGCACAAGTGATGGTTCCACCCCCCAGAGAATCAGACACACCTGGAGGCAGCCCCAAGCTGGCAGTGGGGGTGCAGTGCCTGGGATGGTTTGATATTCAGATATCTCCAGTGGAGGTCTAGACCAGTGCCAGCTATATCAGTCCCAGCCTGTCACCTTTTCCAGCCTTCCTTCCAAAGAGCCTTAGCAGTGCATTCAAACATTCAGAGCCCAACAGACACGAAACAAATCCCCAGTGGGGTCCCTTTGCAAAGGGCAGGGGACAGCCAAGCCAACCGGTCCTCAGCACACCCAATGCTTGTAGTGCCATGGCATCCAGCTCCTCATTCCTGCATTTCAGCAGAGGGGCTCAAAGCACTCGCCATCTTACACCTCTCCAGAGGCCAGTGGCACTTGGGAATGTAATCATGAGGCGAGGGAGGTGTTGTGTCACGGAACCCAGAGTGGGAATTAAGACGCTCACAAACAGCTTTTGCATCCTTGACCTTAGCTCCTACTTGTCCCTGCCAGGAGAGCTCTGCTGGCCCCATAGCCCCAGGAGGGCTGAGAGATGACGTGAGGGATGACTCCACAGCACGTGTTCCCCTCTGTCCAGCAGGGACTGATGGTGATGTGGCGGGTCCCGTGCTGGGTCCTGCCTGTTTTGCAGGCAGAGGAGTCATTCATCTGCAGGCAAAGTCTGGGCCACCTGGGCAGGGCTGAGCTGCCCTTTGCACCGTGGGCGGTGCGTTCACACGTGGCTGAGCACGCACTGTCCCCTCCCAGGGGACCCAGTGCCAGCACAGCAGTGGCAGCTGCTCCTCCCCAGAGCCCATTGGGGTCCCCAGGAACCCTGTGGGTGTTGGCACTGGGTTGGCACTGCCAAGGGCACAGACCCAGTGCCAGGGTGATCCCCTTGTCCAGAGGCTGGGCATCCCATGGGGAGCTACAGCTGCTGCTGTGGCAGCTCCTGGAGGGCTTGGCTTTGCTGCCACCATGGCTGGCATTGCCCAGCACGGCTCAGGGGTGCTGCCAGTCCCCAATCAGAGCAGGCTCCCACCCTCCCTGCCTACAAGGGGGACTTGGGTGGCCCACAGCAGAAACTACAAGGGACACAAGGAGTACCCCTCCCCTATATTCTTTCTCCCCTTTCCATTGGAATTTCCAGATGGACCTGATCACATGGAAGCAGCCTTGTGCCCCAGCCCAGCCCGCTTCTCCCAGTCCCCAGAGCATCACGGAGCACAAGACCCCAGGGCCAAGTCACACCAAACCTGCTGTCAGCACTCCCAGCGAGAGCACAGCATTGCCCTGACAGTGCCCACAGGTGTCCCTCCTCCGTGGTGGCTGTGGCACTTCTCAGGGGAGCAGAAGTGGCATACTGCCCTCACAGATTTCCTCTTGCGTGTCCCAGCTTTACTCCATGACTTTAGGAGGAGGACATTTTGTTCAAAATATCGAGTTCCCAGGCCCTGGGCATCCAGGCAATGCCAGCAATCACAGGAGCTGGCAGAACTCCCTGTCCCTGTGGGCACCCGCTCGTGCATGTGGAGGCACACACAGCTCTGTGCAAAGAATGGGGCTGGGGGCTTTTAGGTAGGGCAGCTAAAACTGAGTCCAGCTCCATCCTGGCTTGGAAGCCGCTGGCCCTCTGCATGGAGTACCTGCCCAGAGTGAGCAGCTGCTCCTACCCTGCTGAGGAAGTACAGGGATATGGGGCTGGGAGGTGGCACATTTTAGATGTCACTGTGGTGTGGCTCAGTCTGAGGCCCCCCAGAAAGGCACACCAGGAGTGTGGGGGTTGCCTGCTGCTCTGCACGTATCTGGATGAGGTGGGATCCTGCCTGGAGAATCCCCTGTGGCAGACGCTGGGGTGAAAACAACTCTCAACTCTTTCACCTGCTCCCACCGTGACAGGACAGCCACAAACGCCCCTTCCCAAAGCACAAACAGGGCAGTGTTCGGGGCTGCTTTACCCTGGGCTGAGGCCTCTCAGCTGAGGCCAAAGTAAGCAGCTCCTCAGCAGCAAGCACCTCTCTGGGGCTGGGAAGGCTCTGACCTGAGCACAAACAAACACAGAGTTAGGGAAAACACCTCTGGCCTCTGTGAAACCTCCCTGCATCCCTTATTATGCCCTTGTCCCTTTGCTACACACTAACTCAGCCCCTTTGGCTCGGGACTGGGCAGGGCAGGAGATGGATGTCCTTGCAGAGCTGCACCTCTCCAGCCCTGCTCAGCCACGACTTCTCCCTTCCCACCTCCTGCTCCACTCTCGAGGGTGCTGGCAGGCTCCAGGAGCAGAGCTAGACTGAGCTGTCAGCAGGCAGGAGCTTCAGGGAAGGGCACCGTGTCCTCATACCATCACACCCAGATTCCCCACCTGGCTGCGGGAGCCTGGTTGGGCCAGAAAAGCAGGTGCCTCGCTGGGCCGGAACGGGGAGCGGGGCTTGCAGCACAGGCTGGGGTCACGTACCCAGCAGCAAGGCTGGACACGCACGGGGATGCCCAAGCACAGAGGGGACCCGGCCAAATCCCATCGACCGGCAGTGCCCTTCTCCGTGGCCGCTTAAGGACGGCACGCTGGGGCTGCGGGAGGAGAGCTCTTCGCCACAGTGTGGCACCACGGCAGGAGCATCCCTCCTTCCCGCCGGGCCGTTCGGGGGGGACCAGGCTGGAGCGAGGGGGCCCCCAGCACCCCGCGGCAGCAGCCTGCGTGTGGGGCACGGGCCGTGGCACCCGGGACGGGCAGCTCCCCGCACGGAGTGGGGCTGTGCCCTGATCCCCCCCGCAGCCGGCTGCGGGGAGCAGCGGCTCCCTCGGCCCGGGGGGGGTTCCCGGTGGGGGTGGCGGTGCCCGGCCCTGCCGGACCCCCGGGGGCCCGCACGGCCCCTGCCGTCCCGATCCCGATCCCGCTCCCGTCCCGCGGCTCCGGCCGGCAGGGGGCGGCCCCGCGCGCCCGGCGGCCCCTGCGCGGTGGGGGCGGCGCGGCCGGGCCGGAGCGGGGCCGGAGCGGGGCCGGAGCGGGGCCGGAGCGGGGCCGGAGCGGGGCCGGAGCGGGGCCGGAGCGGGGCCGTGGCCGCGGGGCCCCCGCCCGTCCCGGGCCATGGAGCCGGGCCCCGCGCGGCGCTGGCAGAAGGTGCTGTACGAGCGACAGCCCTTCCCCGATAACTACGTGGACCAGCGGTTCCTGGAGGAGCTGCGGAAGAACGTGCACGCCCGGCAGTACCGCTACTGGGCCGTCGTCTTCCAGTCGGGAGCGGTGGTGCAGCAGCTGTGCAGCGTCTGTGTCTTCGTGCTCACCTGGTGGTACATGGACGCCGGGATGCTGAGCCCGCAGGGCCTTTTCGGGGCGGCCCTGCTCTCCTCGCTGCTCGGCTACGTCCTGTTCGACGCCGTGGACGGCGGGGCTGGGCGGTGGGAGAGCGGGCGGACGCGCTGGGCTGACCTCAAGAGCACGCTGGTGTTCACCGCCTTCACCTACGGCTTCTCGCCCGTGCTGAAGACACTGACCGAGTCCATCAGCACGGACACCATCTACGCCATGTCGGCCCTCATGCTCCTGGGCCACCTCATCTTCTTCGACTACGGCGCCAACGCCGCCATCGTGTCCAGCACGCTCTCCCTCAACATGGCCATCTTCGCCTCGGTGTGCTTGGCCTCCCGCCTTCCCCGCGCCCTCCACGCCTTCGTCATGGTCACCTTCGCCATGCAGATCTTCGCCCTCTGGCCCATGCTGCAGAAGAAGCTGAAGGCCCGGACGCCGCGGTGTTACGTGGGGGTGACGGTGCTGTTTGCGCTGGTAGCGCTGGCAGGACTGGCCACCATCTCCAGCGTGGGCGCCGTGCTCTTCGCCTGGCTGCTGCTCACCATCTCCTGCCTCTGCCCCTACTGCCTCATCCGCCTCCAGCTGCTCAAGGACAACATCCACGGGCCGTGGGATGAGGCTGAAATCAAGGAGGACCTCTCCAGGTTCCTCATGTAGGCCTGGCCCGGAGGGTCCCTCTGCTGTGAGCAGTACAAAGGTCCTTGCTGGGGGACAGCCCTGGGGAGGAGAACACTTGACTCAATAAAGCCTCTCGCACAGCAGCAGGGACCAAGTTTATGTTCCCTTCAGCATCTGTTTCCAAACCTGACTCGCTTGGGTTTGGTGAAGAAAGGAACTGAGCCCCACAGCTGAGCAGCTGGTCCCTGCGACAGTTCGGGGTGCAGACAAGCAGGGTGGTGTCTGCTCTGGTCATGCAGACCCATACCTGAATTTGGGGGTGGGGGAGCAGGGGGAAATGCATCCCCTGAGCAGAAACACCACTTGGAAACACACATCTAGCTCAGATGTGCCCCACAGGCCCTCAGTGTGTGCACTTCCCTGGGGGAGATGGAGGGAAAGGGGCTGGTGAGGGTCCCTGCGGGCAGGGTGGAGGTGCAGGGTGGTGGGTGCTGAGAGACTTGCAGGACTGAGCACAAGGGCACCTGCTCACCTGCACCCTCATGCACAGCCTCTTGACACTGCCAGATACCACACTACCCTAAATCCTTTGGGAGAGGAGGCGGTGAGAGGGCATGATGCCTTCCTCTCATCTCTCTTTCCAGAGGCAAATGAGGCCTCACTGCAGGGCCAGACCCTGATCCAGAGGGATGGAGCTCAGCACAGCCCCCCATGGGTGCAAACCCAGCTGGGGAGATGCCACGCCGTTTGGGACAGCGGGGGAGGTCTATCAAGACCTCGTCCGGCTCCGTCTGTCACATGTCCGTCTGTCCGTCACCGCTCACACCGCAACAGAGGGCGCTCCCGGCAAACAAGTCCCACTGGAGGCCAGGCCAGCCCAGCCGGCCCCCGTGCCGGGAGGGCCTCCCTGGCGCTTTCCCTTTCCCTGCTCCCATCTGGCACCATCCCTCGGCAGTCCCAGCCCCTCTCTGGCCACCCCGGGGAGCAAAACCCTCCTGAGCCAGCACTGCCTGAGGGAAGGGATGCCCATACTCTGCCCCAGCCTCACTGCACGGGGATGCGTTTGGTATCACCCGGATTTTTATGAAACTTTTCTCTTTTGGAAACCCAGCACTGCAGAAGTGCAGCTCTCTGCTCGGTTTACCCCATCCCCGGGAGCACCAGGGTCTCATCCTATGGAGCAGGCGCTTGCCGCGCTCCTCGGGTTTTCTCGGAAATGAGCAACCCCCGGCGGAGTCCCCAACACCTCCAGCGTTTTGTTCCAGCTCCTGCCAAGTGTTAAATGTTGCTGTTGTCGTCATGGTGACAACTACATCTCATTTTGGTTTTAATTAAAACATGCAGCAGTTTGGAGCCCGTGCTCCGGTCTCGCAGGGAATACAGAGTAGCCAGATGTCAGAGTCAAACTGACATTTTTTAGGTCTTTGGAAAGGAGACTGTTGTGGTTTTTTTGCCCAGGGAGGTTTCCCAGATTGCTGCTCAGTGACCAGGATGTCCCATTTGACCCTGGGCTAATGCCAGTGTAATGCTGCCATCCAAAGCTGATTGGTTAGGACACAGCTCGAGTATAAATCAAAAGTAACTCAAATCTCACCTGCCTGGCCCCTGCCTATCACAGCAGAGGGTACAAGAAAGCAGAGTTGCTGCTGCACCCATTCCCCCAAGGAGAAATATTTCCTCAAAAATACTCTTCCCAAATTCACGCTTTCAAAACCAGCCCCGGGTTAGGAATAGCAAACTTTGACCACCCAGACATTGCAGGTGGAGATGGGCACAGGCTGCCACCATCACCTCAGCCAGAGCAGGAAGCCAGTGGATCACCTGTGCAGATCCCTGGGCTTTGACTGATGCAGCAGCCCCCATCCACCCAGCTCTAGGTGGATGCAGGCTGTGTCCCACCAGCCCAGCCCACCACAGGCAGGTTCATCCCTGCCCACAGCCACATCCCTGCCCCTCTGCCATGCCCAGCTCCCTCCCTTCATCCTTCCTCCTCCAGAATTCTAGGATTAGAACAGCATAGCCTCTGTGCTTGCCCAGAGATCTGCAGGGAAAGGCTGAGCCCTCCCCCTCGCTTGGCCACACAGATACCCTGCTCTCCCTATGCTGGGAGATGAAAATATAAATCCAGTCCATGGCCTGGATGCATAAAGGGACACTGAAGGAGGAAATAATGCAAGAGAGAGGCAGGGAGAGGAGAGGAGGAGACACAAAGGCCAGGCAGGGTTTCCCTGGGACTTCCCTGACCTTCTCCTGAGGACACACACTCTGCAGTGCTGCTTAAGTTATTTAAGCTGCTGCAAAAATGGCCACTATGAGTTTGTCTACATGCCTGAGGTCAGAATATTCTCCACGCAACAAAATTTTGCCGTAACTACACCCATCCAGTAAGGCTGGATGCCCTTTGGGCCTTTGCTACCTGAGCAAAGCATTCTCTGACAAAGCCCCCAGTGAGACCAAGAAAATAGGTCCTCGGTTCATGATGCAACCAACGCATGGTAAGGAGTTAAACGTTGGTTTGCATTACAAGGAAGTTTCTTTCCCTTAAATTTCTGAGTCCACTGAGATCAGTCCCTCAGTGGGACATTGTCCTTTGATTTGAAGCTGTCCAAATGAGAGAAACTGAAGTGGCTGGGGATAACCCTCGTTCCTGGGGGAGCCGCTGACACGTGCAGTCTGGAATCTCCATCTACAGCCTCTGCTGCAGGGAAAGGCAAGTGTCAGCCACCCACACTGTGCTGTCAGGGGGCCACGTCCCTCCCGTGCGGGAGCCTGGATCTGAGAAGCCTGGAAAGAGCAAAGCTTTAGTCTTAGAAGGTAAGATCCTTGTAGCTCTTCAATTCCCACAGTAATTACTAAACTTTTTTCAACTTCGTGATGTGAGAGGCAACAGCAACAACATGAACGATCACAAAACCAAAACACGATTTTGGTCCTAACCCACTCACTGAAAAGCAGCCTTGGAACACATAATGGCACCAACTGCAACACCCTTATCCTTCTCTACCTGGCCACAGAGCAAACACCACTGAGGGCTGGAAACAGCACAAACAAGGTTAAACAGCTTCTTCAAGAAGTCACTCCATGAGCTGATGCTAAAGAACACTCCAGGGTTCCCCAGCACACCAGTACCTGTGTCTTTCTACTTAGGATATTTTAGAAATGGCCACCAGAAACCCATGAAGTTTGGAGTTCTACTATCAACAATATTTGTTATCAAATATTTATCTGTGTCAAGGGTTTACCACCATAAAATGTCCTGAGAAACAAGTTTGTGCCTTCCACCTAATGCCTGGAGGCCCTCTGGCAGCTGGGTGCTGTGGGCAAGGCCATTCAGCTACAACATCATCCACATTTTATTTATTGTCGGTTCGTCTGTTGGTACCATGTCATACCCCAGAAGGAACACAGTGAGAGCTTCTCCCAGTGCAGAACAGATTTTTAAGCAACCTGAAAAAAAAGCAGCTTATGAAGTTCAGTCTGTTCTCATTCCCTCTCACCTGGAAGGTGAAGCATGGGCAGAATCTCCTCAGGAGCTTGCTGGGTGCAAACACTGTTGCTTCTACAGTAGTTCCCCAAAGAACACAATTCCTGAACTCTGCTGAGGTGTTTTTTTGCCTCACTACCTGATGGTGACAAGTTCCAGAGATGAAAGATACAGCCAACCTGAGCTGTTCCATTCCTGGGACAGTTGTGTTCCTGGGATTGTAGGAGCCTCCATTTCTCCCTCTCCCAGGGTGCACCTTGCCAATCACTGTACTCTCTCCAGCTCCCACAATTCCTAGTTTA